AAATTAGGTCAATAAAACTAACTTTACATAACTATTTTGGGATTTGTGCAGAAAAAAATTACAAAAAAATTGCCTTACTATGCTACAACACCCTATTGATTTTGTTCCAAGTAAAGTAAATTATATAATCCATAACTTCTTGGGATCCGTATTCCAAAGTTTTTGCTGATCGAGGACCTTTTTTCTTTTTTTTTTTTTTCAAGTATTCCAAGGATATACGCTGATCGAGGACCTTTTTCTTTATTTTTTTTTAAGTAAGCAAAAATTTTTGTTGCACTCCCTCCCCCCACCACATGACTTCTACTTGCGCCGGCCTTGTATATATAAAATATGTGAGTACTTTTCAGTAACCCCTTAGAAATTGGCGAAACACTAAATCAGCCACCCCACTTTTTTCCAAATTTTAAAAATAAAGTTTAACATAAGATATGAAAATATTAAAAGAATATTTTTTGCTCTCAGTTACTTTGTTTATAAAAATAACTTTGTAAAAGTTTTATTATTTTTATTATTGCTATAAAAGTTTTTACGACGTCAAACCTAGCAAACAAACCAAAAAACAAAGGTCCTTTTTTTTCTCTCTAAAAACTTTTTTTCAAAAACTTTTGATTGAACTATATAAAATTAAGAAGTTATTTTTTTTGCCATCAGTTATTGTACTAATCAAGGACTACGCAATTTAGAAAATAAATAATGTTCAAAAATCACCATAAGCATTTATAATACTCACTGATCTCAAAATATATTTTCAGATCGGTTAGTGAGATTACTTAACATGAATAATAGTGCAGTCAATTGGTACAAACTTTGTGCTATTTAGGGTTAAAGTATGAAACTTGGTGGAAATGTTGATATGGTTAAAACATTCGTTTTAAGACTCAAACCCACTTTCAAAATGACCATAGATAGTCTCCATGGAAAATAGCACCTGTTCATAGCAACAAAATTTTATTTTACCCCAGTACGCCCGTGGTGCAATGGCTAGAGCGCTTGCTATATAAATAGGAGATCTAGGTTCGAAACGAGCTTAGGACATATTTTTGCGTCACGGTAAGGAAGGAGGCGTGAACTTGCTGGTTAAATGTACATCCGCGGTGCTCTGTGACAAGACCTTCTCAAGAAGACAAGGTCTTCTTGAGGCACCTAAAAAAAAAAAAATTCAACATCCAATAATTGCACAATAACATGCACTAATTGAAAGCTCACGAAGCAAATAATATAAAACACTGTAGGAAAAAATTAACCGATAACAAGTTAGAAGGCTTTAAACAGCTATAAATATTGCGTGTACAAATAAATTACAGTTTACAATTACAATTTTTTTTTTAAATAACAATGTACAAAGTTTTTTTTAAAATTTTTTACTTATTTAAAATAAAAAGTTTATTTTTTTAAAATTTTCTCATAAAAAAACACTTTGATAAGAAAATTTTCTTTTTTAATATAATTGTTCTATTAATCCCATGAGCTCGTTGTAGATGGTTTGCATGATTTTTTTTGTTTTTATTTGTTACAAAATTATTTTGTGTACATACTAGGGGTGCACCAATGCATCGGCATCGGCCTTGATAACCATCAGCCTATGCCAATTGATAAAAAACCATGATTGATAGCGTTTAATAAATAAGCATTTAATATAAGTATTGTTTTATAATTTAATTTCGTAAAAACATTTGCTGAAAACTTGCTAATTATTAGAAGTAACGACATATAAGTAACAAAATCTTCCAATCATTCTTTATGAAAAAGCGAAATCATCCTTATTTGAACAGAATTGCGTAACTATTTATAAAACGAGTTTTTCAATTGACGTAATTGCTCTAATTATTAAGAAAACATTAAAAAAATTAATGGAAAATAAACTTCAACAGTAACAATTTCAAAATGTTGCTTTCATTGTCACATAAATGGAAAGTGGCATTTCCATTCAAATGTATATTTCCTTCATATATCCAATTTCAGGGTACCCATCAATATCGGCCAAAAGTAGGCATCGGTGCACCCCTAGTACATACAAAATTCCGAATTCAGCATGACATTTGTTTAAAAACTTCCGCGAATCTTCTAAATCTGTTGCCATGATCAATAATTGGCAAGGATGTGATTTAGACAGCTGTTGAGTTTTTAAATAAAGGTCAAACGACTGTCATTACTTTTGACCAGCCATTGTATTCCTCCGTTAAACAGATACAGTGGAATTGGAAAAAATACTACGGAAAAAAAGATTTTGTCATTATGATAGGGCTACTTCATATCAAAATGGCGGCGTTTAAAACAAATGGAGATTGGTTGTAGGATTCCGGATGATTTTCTGTTTCAGTTGAAGCAGAGATTTCATCAGAAGGAAAAGCTGAATCATACCTTAATGCATTACATGTATCGAAAGCAAGAAGTGTGCATCAGGTAAATTTTAAAGTCTAGTTTTTCATATTTAGGAAGGATTAGTTTGATTTTGTGATATACAAACAATTACTAAACATCATTGTTAAAAAATTTTGAGTTATAAACGCTCTAAGTAAAAAAAATAATTCCGTAATAGGTAACTGCTGTTTCTCTTAATATTTTGATGAAAAAGCTTATCAAAACTACGTGATTCGAAATGAAAGATGTAAAAAACCTTTTGATAATTGGAGAGAAGATTGTGAACAGGTTTATCCCCAATTTAGATGATGGGCAGTAACACTCAGATTTGAGCTGACTATATTAGCTTTTGTGCGACCAATAAAGACTGGAAATTTTGATTTGTATAGGCAGTGCATTCGACAACTGTTGCCTTGGTTTTTTTCATTGGATATACGCGTTACTCACGCTGGTTATCCGTACATTTAGCAGATATGATTCAACTGGAAGAAACAAATCCAGATATTGCAAGACTATTTCAGTACGGCATGTTTGTAGTAAACAAAACAAAGAAAAAGTTTTCTTCAATAGGGTTAGAGCTTGAACATGAGCAAAATAACGTCAATAACGTAAATAATTCGTCAAAGGAGAAGGAGGTTTTTTTTTTATCACAATAACAATAAAATGTTCGTTTAAGAATCTTATCTGAAAATAAGAAATTGATTGAACTTGTTTTGGTAATAACTTTTTCTTACTTATAAGTGAAACACCCATGCATTAAAAATAAAAAATTTTAAACTTTATTAAGGTACAATCGGGTTGACGGGAGATTCCCGTGAACTACTCCGCTGGATGATTTGTGGATCTGAAGCTCGATGCATAAATGAGTTTGAATCAAATTTACTATACGCACTAAACGATGTAGATGATTTCGTGGAAATAAGTTTTAAACATCATGAGCAAAATAAATGTCATCAAAATCGATTTGGGTCTCAAGTTACGAATTTAGTTGATTGATTTCAAACATGGGTAATCCATTTAAAGAAGAAGTAACACGAGTATAAGTTATTTACAATACAATATAAGTTATTTATGAAATATGATATAGATTTTGAATTGCGATTTTTATTCTTTGATCAACATCAACATCAATACTGAGTTGATTCTAGTGAATTTATTTATTGGGTGGACACTTTTTATAAGCCTTAAGATAAAAGTGATTTCTATCCATCGTCTCTATATCTGTAGAAAGCATACATCTTCTGGGGCTTGATATCGAACTAAAATATCAACAGATCCAATCTTGAGTCTTGCAAACATGAAGAAGCAGACACTCGTATATTTCTTTAAACATGCTGCTATAAATAATGGACTCAAAAAGCCATGATCAGAACTGTTGATACTAATGTTGTTGTCAAAATAACTTTTAATAAAAATCACATGATAATAGTTTTTAATTCTATGTTGAAGACTTTTTCATAAGCTATTTAAAAGAATTATGTTTAGTGCTAGTGAAAACCAAAGCCTCATTTCACTTCACGATCTTGTAAAATGTTTTGGTTCAAAAGATAAATCTTTACCTCTATTTCAAGCAATAATAAATTGCAATCAAGTTTCATTTTTTGCTGAAAAAAGGAAAAAAATTTCCAGGAAAACTTGGGAAAAAATTTAAAGATCTCACTTACGCCTTGCAATCAATTTTCAATTGTCCTTCAAAGGAAGATATAATCAGTATTTTCCACTTAATTGAAAGATATTTTGTGCTACTATATGACCGTAAAAGTTTCTACAGTAGTGTAAATGAATGCAGAAGAGATTTTTTATCCAAAAAAGGGACGTTTACCAGACACCATACCGCTACGCAAGACGCTTCGCAACTGCATATCTCTAGAGCTGTTTACCACCTTCTTATTTTTGGGCACAATTCATTGTGTGAGAATCCATAATTACCTAATCCATTTGAGTGGGGTTGGATTGTGGAAGACAAAATATTCACGAAATTGTTTGGACATTAATTCCGGAAGTTACCAAAATATACAGTGAAATTATAAGATGTGTCTGCAAAATAGAGAAAGGTAGTAGAGGTCTTTGTTAATGTGTATAAGCATTACTTCCATGTTCCACACTTTGCAAATATGGCGGTAAGTGTAAGCGTTAAATACATAAGTTACCAAATGTTTTGAATATAACGGGTTTTGAAAATTTGTTAAAAATTTTATGGGATAACTTTTGATCTACAAGGTTATACACTGTGTTATAACATTGTGATTTTAACTATTTATTAAATATTAAAATTAAATTTTTTAGTATTAACTTACAAATTTAATTTATTTAATTTTTATCAAGGTTAAACTATTTGTGTAATATGAACTTTTAATTATTATTGAATTGAATTTAAAAATACGATATCGTACAAAAAAAACTTTTCTCGCTACTGGTTTGATCCGGTTGCCATGAACACATGTATTTTGGAAGTAGGTTTGAGTCTTACAATAATTATTTCAATATAATCAACATGTAGGCGTTTTACCCCAAATAGCACAAAAACATATAAATTTGTCACCAATTGACTGCACTAAAAAAATTAATTAATATCTCATCGATCAACGTCAGTTGACGTTAATTAACAGAATATCTGTTTAGTCGTCATACCCAGTCTTCAAGATTACGCAACATTTTGTTTATTGATGGAAGTGAAATCTAAAAAAAAATTAATTAAAATTACTGTATTTTTATATTTCTTACTGTAAAGAATTAATTGATTTTGGTAATATTATGTGCGATGCAGTTAGAGAACAACCTGACGGTGATGATAATGTAGATGGCTTTGAAGAAGATAAATTAGATCCCAGAGTTGAGGTTAATTAGTTTCCTAACTTTGTGTTTAATGTTTTTAATGTTTAAAATTTTTTATTTCAGATGTATATATAACATATAAATGTTTTTCTTTATAATTTGTTAACAAAATTCAAAAATATGAACAGTGAAGGTTTTAATTATATTTGCCACTATTGGATTATCACTAAGACTTAGTGACTTACTAAAAGTGATTAGAAAATAAAAGACAGTAAAATAAAATTTTAAGCAGACTATAGTTTCTTATTAATAAAATCTTGTCATTTTTTAATCGTTGCAGCATTCATGAAATGCTATAGGTGATGTTTAAAATTGTTGGTGATAAAATGCTATAGGTGATGTTGTAAAATTAGCAAATTTTATTTAATAAGAACTTTAAAAAATATTCAATATAAGTCCAAGTCTAGCAAAATATAGATTTAATCTTATTAAGAAAATTTATTAACATTTGTAAAAGTCAAATGTAACGCTTTTCTATTAATGAGACAGATTTTAAATAATGGTCTGCTTAAAATGCCCTTCAGGAAAATATTCACAGAAACATATTAAGAAACAGAACTCCAAATTCAAATAATCAATTTCACAATGAGCAATTATTAAAAATCAAATCAATACTATGACTTAATGACATCTTAACTTTGAATAACATAATACATCGGTGATCTAAATATACATTGTAAAAATTAGAAAAAGAATAATTACAATTTATTATACTTAAACTTTGTTTTACTATAATAATTTTGTGTTGCTAACAATTGTACATATACATTATTTTATTAATGGCTGATAATTGATGTATAGGCATAAAATAATGTAAAATGGTCATATTTCAAGATCTTTGTGCAGCTAGATACTAAATTTTTCAAGGAATTCGTATTTTTTTTTAGAATAAATTACAATTAAGAATGATTAATTCTTAGTACTTTTAATATTTTAGAAGTACTTAGAATTAATAGTTATTAATTCTGAGTACTCTTAATAAATATCATATCATAGATTTTACTGATTTCTTTACAGTAATGATTTATTTTTCTTATAGATATGATATCTTAGATTTGGTGATTTCTATACAGTACAAAGTACTATATTGAAATCAAGCAAATCTATGATATTTTGTGACTTTTTTAAAAATTTCCCATGGAAAGACATGGAAAAATTTTTTAAAATATGATATCATTGTTCATCTGTAAGTAGCTTTTCAAGTTGTTCACACTCAGCTGACTTTTTTAAACAAAAATGACATAAAATTATTATATATAATTATATAAAATATTTTTACATTGAATTACCATTACGTTATAAATGCATCAACTTAGTCGAAAATTCTCTTATTGAATACCTTAATTAAGTTTTTAACAGTTTTGTTTGAAAGCCATTTGAATGAAAATTGGTTTGAAAAATAAAATAAGCAGAAAATTTTTGATTCTGACAATTATATAGCAAACTGCCATATAATTCCCAATTGCATAAATGCCATTTATCTTTTGTTAGGCAGAAAAGCCAAGTAAAAAAATGTTTAAACTTTAAAGGCAAATTTTTAAAACTAAATTGCAGATCATATTGAAATTTTTTACAAGATTTTGATAATTCAGTTTTAAATACAAAAATTAAATGTCATCAGAGGTAAATGATTGAGAAAAATTGATGGTTATTTTGATACCATATATTTAACATATGTTAAATTATTAAAAAGAGTTTCCATCAAAAAAGCTCATAACTCTGCAGCAAAAAATGTTTACCCTTATTAGAAGGTAATAAAATAAGTTGCCTAGTCATAAAAGCAGACACAAGCAAAGCCCATGCAATTAATCAACAAGATTCAGCATTCAGCATCACAAACTGGAAACAATGTATTAAGAGGTCAACAGATAGAATCTGTTTACCCCTAAAGTCTTTAAATGTCTAAAATAAAGCATTTAATGTCTTACCAAGATGAATTTTTTTATCCAGACACCTTCTCTTGCCTTTATTCAACTGAGAGTCCCAATGCAGGGGGTGTGTTAAGTCAGAGTTGGGTAATTCCATGTAAAAGTAGGACATTTATTTCAGTCACCCCTTAGACTTTTTATAATTTTTAACCAGTGGTATGTATTAATAAAACATGAAAAAATGTAAAAATTTTAACCATTAAGAACTTTGTAGTAGTACTTTTTAATGAATAATTTAAGATCTAGTGGAAGAATGTGGCTAAAAATTGATATCTGACAATTTTTGAAGGTGCTGAATTCAAAAATAAAGAAAAAATAATTAAATTTAAATATTTTGATATTTTTTTAATTGGTCATATTGAAAATGGTCAGTCAAATTTTTTGTTTTGTTGCCATGGGTTGCGTTTTCATTAACTTTCAGAATCTTATGGCTTTAACTTTTTTTTTAAAATGAAATATTAGATCTTAGACTATCTTTATAAAAAAGTTTGTTTTGGTTTCTCAAAGCATAATAAAGATATATTTAAACAAAAAATCCTTTTTATGGCCTCCATTCTCCATTATAGAATTTATAGCTTTTTTGTGTGTGAATAGTTTAAGTTCTAGAGGAAAAATATGACTGATATGAAGAATATGACTATGAATTTTAACGTACTGACTATAAAGGTGTTGAATACAAAGATAAAGAGAAATAACCCAATTCTTAATATTTGAGAATAATTTTAAAATTTTAAAATCAGACAAATCGTAACCATGTATTTTAATTTCACTTATTTCTAGAGTCTTTACTCTTTAGAGCCTTACTCTAAATGACTTTCATTCTTGGCATCCAGCAATAATCATCCTACTTTAGCCAGTAGTATGACCGACTTGGATAATGTGGATGCTTAAACTTTAGAAAAAAAACATCTTTTTCTTTATCAAATTCAAGTCATTCCATGCCAAATGGACTGAAATTTTGGGATTCCAACATGGACCCCCTCAGATTTTGATGAAACTTGGTGGGTTGGTTTACACAATGAGAAAAGCAATTCCTAAAAATTTCAGCTTACAATCTTTGTGGCTCATGAGATATCGCAATTTGAAATTTCTAATTTTTCCAAAAATTTAAACCTCGTTAGCAAAAACATGTTTTGTTCATACTTTGAAGCTCTATAATTAAAAAACGAAATTTCAGAAAACCTTCTAGTTTTTTTTTATTATATACAACTGTAGACTTATTTTGTAAAAACTTTTTTAATTTCACATTTTATCCATAATGGCTGCCTAAAAAACCTAAAAAATTGTTTGCATATATAAAAAGTTGATTTTTGATGGGTCAATATACAAAATTAGCAACTTAAGAAGTGAGAAGACATATCTTTTTAGTTTCTATATATAGTGGGCTTCCTAATTTTTAAAAAACTGCTGATAAGATACTATTTAGTAAGAAATCTTCTAAAAATGGCTCTGGGGAAAACTTTAAAAATTGTGTCTTTATTAAACCACCGGTAACCTAGGATCAACACTGATTTTCATAGTAAATTTTTTTTACTGATTTAACAGACTTTAATAAAGTGAATTCAGAAAAAAAATTAGTGGGTACTCATGGGGAAGTGACAAAGTCAGAACAATGAAGTTGGCAAAAAATGCATTAAAAACGATAAAAATATAGATATTGATGTATTTTAGTTTTCATTATCTACTGCAATGCAAAAAATATATATATAAAAGTATATCATGATCATTACTAGAAATAAGCTATAAACTAAGACTGAATTAAACTCAGTTTTTAAATAACTTTAGTTGCCTCCCCTCCCCCTGTCCATTTACTTTTAAACATACATATTTTCATACAGAACTCATCTTAAAAAAAATTTGTTATTGAAGGTTTCACTGATTATTTTAAAATGCATGAAGTGTCTTTATGCACAAAATAAGAATTGAACATACACATTTAAAAGCTGTCAAATTATAAACAAGTTATTGGGTGTACTTTTTATCTTTATTTTATATATAAAATTTATAATTTTGTATTTAATCATTATGTCAAAACTCATGTAAACTTTGATTTACACTTCAAAAATTGAAACTAAATAATTTTTTTTAGATAATAATTAAAAATAAAATGCTAGTGCATCTTTAGATCTAATTCAGTGTTGCATTGGAAAAACATTAAATAAAGATTGTCATGAAGGAAAATTTACCAAATTCAAGAAAATTATATGTTTTGACGAATTAACCAAAAAAGATCAAGAACTTGTGCACTTACGATGTAAAGTTAATCATATAAAAACTATTTGTTATCACCATGAAAAAATCTTTTTGAATAGATTTGAGTCTTCGTACGATGGAAGCTTTTGTTGTGATGCATTTAACAAACACAAAATTAAAATTAAAAGTATTTAATAATAAATTGACTTAATCAGTTATTTCAAAGATAAAGGTTTATTTAATGTTTTATTATTTTGTTTCTTTTTAGAATCTGTCAGAGTAATCAGTGTTGCTGTTGCAAAAGAATTTGATTTAATACTTGATCATAAGCTTTGTACAGAATGTCGTAAAATATTGTATTTTAAAAACAACAAAAAAGATTAAGAAAGTGATTCATGTAAAAATAAAGACAATGATTTTAATGATATTCATATTTCAAAAGAAAACTTTAATTTAAGCATTAATAGCCTTGGTTGCTCACCTCTAAAACTATTAGCCCATAAAGACAGGGTCAGCTATGCAAAAAGAAAGATGATAAGATCCATACATAGCAACTGTTTTAGAAGTTTCTCCCGATTTAATATATGATAAACCAAAAACAAAAGAGCTATGTTGTGACAGTTAACAAGACTCACTAATGGAATTAATTAAAGCAAAGTTTGATAATTCTTCAAAATCAGAAAAACTTAAATTACTAACTTTGGTTCCTGAGAATTGGAAAATTGAATATACACAAAACTATTTTTCTGTTTCCCAAAGAATGATAAAAACTACAAGACATTTGAAACAAATGCATGGCATACTGGCAGAACCGTCTAAAAAAGAAGGAAGACCTATTAGTGAGAAAGTAAAAAATCAAGTTCATGAATTCTACCAATCAGA